TTCACTAAGTTGAATTTGTTTTCAATTTTGTTTAAGAGGGATTCTGACATACTGAAGTATATGATTTTAAGGTGGTCCAACAATGTTGTTTCCTTTATACTATTAGCCTTCTTCAGGCTAAGATTATATTTTATTCTTGTTGTAATGATTTAATTTTTTTTTTACATTTAGTTCATTAATCTGACGTTTATATTTGTTTGCAATATGAGGTAGAGATCTCACCTTCCCCCAAAGGTCAGTTGTTCACAACTACTTGTTCAGTGATTCGTCATTTCCTTACTAATACAAAATGCTATCTTTACAATAAACCCATACACACGGGTGTGCAAACTTTTCTAACTTTCTATTCTATACCTGTTTTAACATCCAAGTGCTATTTTAATGTGCGTATACCAAGCCTCACCCCTTTACTGATGGTGTATATTTATTCTTATAGATAAACCATAGAATCACCTTGCCCAGTTCAAAAATACTTCTACCAGAATTTTGATAAATAGTATATTAATTTTATTGATTTTTTTACAGAAAATTCAACTTTATGATATAAAATCTCCCCATCTAGGAAGAAAAGTAGTTTTGTCTATCTTTCAGGAAAGTTAATAGCAGTATTTATGTAGTTTTTGTGTATTTCTTTTATATATATATATATTTTTTTTTTTATTGTACTTCAGGTGAAGGCTTACAGAACAAATAGTTTCTCATGAAACAGTAGTACACATGTTGTTTTATGACATTGGTTAACAACCCCACAACATATTAACCCTCTAACTTCTCAACCTTTTTTTTTTGGTGAAAATACACATAGCCAAAGATACACCGTTTCAAAAATTTCTACACGCACAGTTCAGTGACATTGACTACGCTCTTCCAATTGTGCTGCTATTCTCACTTAAGATGAAGGCTTACAGAACAAAATAGTTTCTCATTTAACAGTTACTACAAATGTTGCCCTATGACAATGGTTAACAATCTCACAACACATCAACAATATCCTTACTCAACCTTGGGTTCCCTATCACCAGCTTCCTTGGCCTCTTCTGCTTTCTGGCCCTTGTCACTGGACTCCTGTACCTCGTTAGTCTCATTTGGTTTTACGGGGCTGTCCACTCCCAGGCTGAACAGTGAACCTCAGAGGTAATTTCACCCCTGAGCTAAAAGGGTGTCTGGGGGCCATAGTTTTTGTGTATTTCTTGTTAATTCCTTAAAATTTTATTTTTTGGTGCTACTGTGAATTGCGATCTTTAATCTCTGTTTTCTTAGTGATTTATGCTAATATATGAAAAATTTATGGATCTCTGTACACTCATTTTTACCTAGCCACCTTATCAAGGTAGCCTATATTTGTAACAGGTTGCTTAGATGAGATTTCCTAGGTATTCCCAAGAGGATACTTGTCAAAAACAAATCCCCAGGCCCTACCCAATCACAAGGTTTAAGTGTGTTTGGGAAAGAGCAGTGAGGTATCCTCATTACTCTACTTTGGACAAGTTTTCCAGATGATTCTGAAGTTCACTCATATTTAGAAACAGTAGCTTAGACCACCAGACTGAGAGCTGAAATAGACTATACATTTACCATATATGTCAAGTTTTAGATGACTTCCCACATAAAGAACTTCAGTAGCTGTCACTTAAATAACACCACTGGAGACCAGATCAGCATTTCACAGAAGCTACAGAAAAGTTCCAGGATTTATTTATACTTAAGGAAAGAAAACAGGAAATACCAGCCATCTATAAGATTTAATGAAACACTGTATGTACATAAAAATATCCACTTCAGCTATACACTCGGAAATCTAGGCATCTTAGCTAACTAGATAGCTGGTCCGCTGGAACAGCAGTCTTACCCTCCAGAACCAAGATGGCACTGACCCCACTCTTTGATATCCAGCAGTAGCTCCACCCTTTGAAACCTAGGGAACAGTGACTCCACACTTTGAAACCGAGGAAGTAGTGGCCTTGACCCATACTCCTTTTGACAGTTCTGCTGGTTTCCAAACTGCCCCAGGATGGTGCCTTCCTTTTCTTGGAGGACAACAGGTGCTTACAACCACGTAGCCCCATTGGCCTCTATCCTTCCTGCAGAATTCCAGGAGACAGGCAGCTTCCTTCTCTGTCCCTTTCAGTCTAAGCTGATAGGCTTTCTGTTGAGGTGGCTGATTAGATCCATTAGTCACAGGCCTAATGGCTTCAGCAAAAGATTGTGTAGCCATACCCTGGGTGTCAGTTTCAGGGCAGGCTCTTAGTTTTCACAATAGAACTCTTCACATCTTTAAGTTTTGGTTTCTTTTTGCACAGTTCATGTCTCAATCTATCCCTTTCCTCTTGTACTTTATTATAAGTGGCAAGAAGAAACGATGCCCCATCTTCAAGATTTCACTTAGAAACCTCCTCAGCTAAATACTACTTACAAGCTGTACTTTCCATAAAACATTCAAACATAATTCAAGCAAGTTCTCTGCCACTTTATAACAAGGATCACCTTTCCTCCAGTTCCAATAACATGTTCATCATTTCCTTCTAAAGCCTCACCAGAAGCACATTTAATGTTCACATTCTAGCAACATTCTGTTCATGATAGCTTTCCCCACAGCTCTCATTTTTTTCTGCACCCTCATCAGAATCACCCTTAATATCCACAATTCTTCCAAGAGTCTCTTCAAGTCAGTCTAGGCTCTTAGTATCAAGCACATCAAAATTTCTCCACCCTCTACCCATTACCCAATTCCAAAACCCTTATCAAATTTTATACATTAGAGCAGTACCCCACTCGCGTTACCAAATTCTTGGTCACCTAGTGCCGTCATGCCAAAAAACACCACAAGTGGGAGACTTTAAAAAACAGAAATTTATTTTTTCTTGGTTCAGGAGGTTAGAAGTCCTAATTCAGGGTGTGACTCTAGAAGGAAGTCCTTCGTCGGTAGCCCCAGGAGTTCCTTGGGGTTCCTTGGTATTACATCTTCCTCCTGTGTGTCTCTATGTCTATTCTGCTTTTTAAAACTCAGAACTGATTTGATTTATGACCCACCCTACTCTGGTATCACCTCATTAACATAACTAAACAAAACTTGTATTTTCAAACAGGGTCATATCTACAGGTACAGGGGTTAGGATTTTGACACATATTTTTGTGGGACATAATTCAATCTATAACACCTCACAAAGGATAGATATCTATAAATTTTAAAAGAAACTTACTTGTTCTTCGAGCCAATGAGACCAAGGATGACCTCTACGGCTCTGTAAGATATCCTATTAGCATGCTCCTCTTTAGAACAAGAAGCATAATGAACTATCCATATTACTCCATAAAAACAGAAGAGATACACTAATGAGAGAACTATTAACAACTATTATTTTGATTTAAGAGAGCAAACTGAACCACCAATCAATCTTATGATATCTCAACATACATTATTAATATGTGGAATCTGAGCCAACCATCCATCGGTCCCACCTAGAATTATCAAGAAACAAAATGACAAGCATAAAGCACAAAGCGCTCAGATTGAGAGCGATCTCATTTGGGGGGTCAACAAACTTGTTTCAAAGTGAAATAACGTGCTTTGAGACCCGATGGCAAGTCAGACGAACAAAGCTGTACTAGAGCAGCAGGGCATCAAATGTTTGCCACACAGTTAAAGTGGTTTCACACAAAAGGAACGATAATTTATACTTTGGACAACGTACATCGTAACAGGATATAGTTCTCACTCTCATGCGGCTAATGAACACATCCGTGTAGTTCTTTACAATGTTTTCACATGTACCAATTGATCTCAAAGGAATCCTATAAACTGGAGTTTATATTTCATAAATGAAACAACAGAGGGTCAAAGAAGTTAAAACTTACATAAAATCATTCAGTTGTTAAGTAGTAGAGGGAGAATTCAACCTTTTTTTTTTTTTTACTTTTACCATAATGTTGTTTGATAGAACAGCATGCTAACTTAGAATTTAAAACAAAAATTTTTTTCAGGACATAGTCTCATTTGCTATTTCATTTTTTCCCCACATTTCTCCGAATTATGTAGAAACAAAAATCATCTACCATATTTCACAAATGAGGGAATGAGATAAATTAAAATGAAGCAAATTAAAATGAAGCATTATATGTGAAATCACTTTGGAAAGTATGAAATACAAATGCAAGGTTGCAGTAAAATTCAGTGAATCGCCAAAAATACTAAAATCAAGATTATTGGAGTTTTTTCTAACAGATTATAAGGAGCTCTCTCCAACTTCTAGCAGGAGAGTAACATGAATTATTTATTCCAAGGGAAAAAAGCAAGGAGAGAACCACCTCACACGTGTCTATCTGCGTAACAGAATTCAGAAATCAGAGGTACGTGCGTCTCCCACATCAGCCATTGGAAACAGACCTAAAATATCTAACCATCCACAGCTACCAGGAGCAACGGTCCGGAAGATAGACAGGAAAAGCAAGGAGAATTAGCAAAGATGGGGCGGCTAGTTCATACCAGGGAGAAAGATCAAGCAAGGACCGCTGAGCTCCAGGCTGCCCATGACCGCACCAGCCCCAGAGGAGCTGAGCAGGCACCAGCCACTACTGGGAGCACAGGTCCTCCTACAGGGGAGAAATCGCAGCCGCAGACTGACAAGGAAAAGCTAATCAAAGACACACTACATTAGATTGTCTCATATTGTTCCACTTACTGCAAAAAAATGTAAAAGCACCAAACAAAAAGGATTGTTAAATAATTACATAGTTACCAGCAGTGCTAATTAAATAAAAACATGCTGTTCAATTATCATAATAGTTACAATTGTTGTACGTAAGATTACAAAAAGGAAATATTGTTCATGATAGTGTCTGGATATCCTTGATATACAGCCAGAAATATGAGGAAAGGCCTTTATTTTAAATGGATTTCTGTAAAGGTTTTAAGACAAATGAGGACACAAAGAACATTCGAGTCCGTCAGGATTGAAAATATAAAGTTTTTATATTCTCTGGAGAGGTCAAAGTGCAATTACCTGAGAGACTGCGCCACTATGTTTTCACATATCGTCAGACAGTGATTCACACGGTCTTTCTTGGTGTTGAAGAGTTCTTTCTTTCTAAAAAACAAAAACGAAAAAGAAAAGAAATGAAGAGGTGTTGAATTAACCACTGCATTTATTTCTACATATCATGTACTCATTCAGCAGTACTTGTTGACCACCATGAACAAAGCACCGTACTTGCGCTGGGGAGCAGGCTGGGAATCAGGACAGGGAGGCATAGACGAGCTCGAAGTCTGTGAACAACACTACCCCACTGCAGTTAGGTGATTGACCAAAGCAGCTGATTTTCCCAACTTTAGAGAGAAGGAAAACGGAACTCTGCAGTGACGTGCTGCAGACCACACAGGTAGGAAGTCTCCAGCCAACCGTCTGACCTGCAGAATTTGGATTTACCAGCCCCCACAATCCTGTGTGTCACGGAAGTCTCCAGCCTGCCACCTACTTGCCAGCCCCCACAATTGCATGAGCCATTTCCTTGAAATAAATCTCTCTATATGTATATATATAAACCCATAGCCATCAATTCAATTCCGACTCACAGGGACCCTATAGGACAGGGTAGAACTACCCTGTAGGGTTTCCAAGTCTGTACGGAAGCAGACTACCACATTTTTCTCCTGCAGAGCAGCTGGTGGGTTCGAACCGCCAAGCTTTCTTTCAGTTAGCAGCTGAGCGCTTAACCACTGTGCCACATATATATATGTATACACACACACCCTCCCCTCACTCGTTTTGCTCCTCTAGAGAATGCAGACTAACCCTACCCCAGGCGAAGCCAGGACTTACCCCCCAGTTGTGGCTCCGTACCTAACCTGCAGTTCACCAATTCACACTCGTTTTTCCCCTTGTTCACATCACTGAAACTGGACGCAGGTGACAATCGATGGCATGTCAATTTAATTAGCAACTTTTTTTTCTTTCTCAGTATATGATAATGGAATTAAAATGGACAGTATATTCCATTCAATGAAATACAATAATATAATACCTAATATATACACCAGAAGGAGCCCTGGCGGCACAGTACTTAAGCACTCGGCTGCTAACCAAAAGGTCGGTGATTCAAACCCACCAGCTGCTCTGCGGGAGAAAGATGTGGCAGTCTGCTGCCATAAAGATGACAGCCTTGAGTAGCTATGATTTGGAGCCGACTCGATGTCAACAGGTTTGGTTTTTACAGACACCAAGCTGCCCACATTTCTCAATGCCCCACTGTCGACTGATGGCAGTCAGCACACCACCCAGGCCTCGGACTCGCTTTCCGTACAAAATAAAAGTATAAATAATAGCTAATTACTTCTGCGGAGCCCTGGTGGCACAGTGGTTAAGAGCTCGGCCGCTAACCAAAAGGCTGGCTGTTCGAATCCACCGGCTGCTCCTTGGAAACACTACATACAGAGCAGTTCTACTCTGTCCTATCGGGTCACCATGAGTCGGAATCGACTTGACGGCAATGGGTTTTTTCATCACTTCTATATCCTCACCCAGCTGGCAATAAGCCTGCAGCTCAGAACCTTTCCCAAAAGCCTCAAGCAAAAGGAGGTGGTGAACAGCCTGACCTGATAAAGATCAGATTAGAGCTGCTTCATTCTCGCCCAAAACTAAGGTTTCAAATGTCTTCAAAGTAAGCATCATCAAAGTAAGGTAGAAAGGGATGATCGATCCAAAGAAGCCAGACATCTAAAGCAGACTCAAGAACTCAAAAACCAAAGCAGCCCAGAAAAGCCTTCCGGGTATGGTTACTAGTCCATGGAAACAACTAAGCCAGACAACCACCGAGTTCCAGAGGGGGTCCTGACACCGAAGAGATGAGGGCTGACTCACTAAACACCCGTGACTGGTGGATCCCTAATGCAACCCTCAAGCCCAGAAAGTGCAGCTGAAGAAACAGGATGTTAAAATCATGCAAGTGAATGAAGAGATGGGCTGATGCAGAGGCTGACTCTGAGGGTGGCGCAGGACCGGGCAGCGTTTCCTTCTATCGTGCACAGGGTCGCTATGAGTCAGGACCTGACAACAAAAACAATGAAGACATGTCCCTGAAAAGGCACTTCAGATGGGGCCGAGAAGGATGACGGGCAAAGAAGAATCTCCAAAGGACAAAGTCAGGGGCCAAGAAGAAAAACAGACGGGAGTTCCAAGTGGCGAAAAGAGCCAGGGTCTAGACACCTATTTCATGGCAAGTGGAGAGGGGTCTTCCAATGACTGTCCAGTAAGAGTCCATCAGCACCAAGGTCCAGTGATGCTGTTTCCATTCGTCCCTTTCTAAAAGGTACTTTCATTAATAAGTTTTATTGCAGACTGCTAGACACCCACTGCCATCCTTTGAGTTTTGGTTTGTTTATGTCTTTAAGTCTAAGGTGTGTCTCTTGTAGGCAGCATACAGACGGATTGTCTTTGTTTATCCATTTTGCCATTCTCTGTCTCTTTATTGGTGCATTTCGTCCATTTATATTCAACATAATTATTGCTAGGTATGCGTTCAGTGCTGTCATTTTGATGTCTTTTTTTTTTGAGTGTTGTTGACAGTTTCTTTGTTCCACTTAATTTTCTGTGATGAGTCGTTTTTCTTTATGCATGTTCTTTTCATCTTTTTCACTGTTGTTGATTCTGTATTCGCCAAGTCTTTATGTTTTTCTTGTTTTTATTTTGATGTGTAGGATTCTTGGTTTCCTTTGTGGTGACCTTAATATTTACCCCTATATTTCTAAGTTTAAACTACTCTTTTATTTCTTTATATCGCCTTCACTTCCTCTCCATAGGAAAGATCTATGACTACATTTTTAGTCTCTCTTTTGTTGCAATGCTGTCATCTTTTACATACTGACACCTCTGTTTCCCTATTTTCAGTGTTTTAGCTTTGATTTACTTTTGTGACTTCCCTATCTGGGTTGATATCTGGTTGCTCTGTCCTGTGTTCTAGTCTTCGGTTGTTATCTGATATTATCGATTTTCTAACCAGAGGACTTCCTTTAGTATTTCTTGAATTTTGGTTTGGTGTTTACAAATTCCCTAAACTTCTATTTATCTGGAAATGCCCTAATTTTGCCATCATATTTGAGAGACAGTTTTGCTGGATATATAATTCTTGGCTGGCAATTTTTTTTCCTTTAAGTCTTTATATATGTCATCCGATTGCCCTCTTGCCTGCATGGTTTCTGCTGAGTAGTCCGAGCTTAGTCTTATTGACTCTCCTTTGTAGATGACTGTTCATTTAACCCTAGGCGCTCTTAAAATTCTCTAAATTTGCCCACATAAGGTAGATTCCAAAAGAAAGTCACCAAGACATAATCAAACTTGCCAAAACCAAAGATAGAGAATTTTAAAACAAACTCTAACAGCACTGAGAAGAGAGATAGACAGCTCCACAATAGTAGTAGGAGACTTCAACACACCACTTTCGGTGAAGGACAGAACATCCAGAAAGAAGCTCAACAAAGACACAGAAGAGCTAAATGCTACAATCAACCAACTTGATCTCACAGACATATACCAAACACTCCACCCAACAGCAACCAAGTACACCTTCTTTTCCAATGCACATGGAACATTCGCCAGAGCAGACTACATACTAGGCCATAAAGCAAGTCTTAACAAAATCCAAAACATCGAAATATTACAAAGCATCTTTTCTGACCATAAATCCACTGAAGTAGAAATCAACAACAGAAAAAGCAAGAAAAAAAAATTAAAACACATGGAAACTGAACAACACCTGGCTCAAAAACTACCTGGCTACAGAAGAAATTAAGGATTGAATAAAGAAATTCAAAGAATCAAATGAAAATGAAAACACATCCTACCAGAACCTTTGGGACACAGCAAATCAGTGCTCAGAGGTCAGTTTATAGCAATAAATGCACACATCCAAAAAGAAGAAAGGGCCACAATCAAAACATTAACCCTACAACTGGAACAAGTAGAAGGAGAGCAGCAAAAGAAGCCCTTAGGTGCCAGAAGAAAGGAAAAAATAAGAAT